GCTACCACCCGCCACCGTCACCACCCACCCGCCATCACCACCACCACCCACTCGCTACCATTTTCTACCACCGTCTTCTGCCACCACCACCTGTCATCATTTTCCACTACCGTCTTCAGCCGCCACCACTCGTCTCCACCCACCACCTGCCACCACTTGTCATTTCTCACTCTTTTTTATATTTTTAAAATTTTTTAAACATTTTTTCTAAACCAAACGCGTTTGTACTTTATATTTTTCTAAAAATAAACAAAAATCAGTTTATAAAATTTTTGTAAATATAAACTGAAAACGTAAACGTTACCAAATAGGCCCCAAAGAATAAGCGGATAAATTTGATTGAGTTAATGCACTTACCGGTCCACATTTTTAGATTCAATAATTTGCAGCCAATCATTTCCCATGTTTGTTTGCTCTTCCTTAATTCGCCTGGCAGATTCGACGACAGAAGGGTAACACTGGCGTACCTCGATTATGTGTAGTGTGGGTATTTCCCCTATTTCAGATGGGATCTCAAATTCATCAAATCGAGAAAACACTAATCCTTGAAGGCTAGGAAAGTGATTGCTGGAAACTTTCCACTTCCTAAGCTTTCGGGCCTCTAATTTTAAAACCTTGAGTCAAGGGAAAACCTCATTTGTTTCCCAATCCGATTCCCACCAGTTAATACTTGATAATTTGAGCACCTCCAGGTTCGACAGTACCTTCCCTAGGATTGAAATCTCATCCCACTCTATAAACGCTTCCTTCAAAGTTAGTTGCTTAAGATTTGGTGGGAACTTGATTCTTCTGAGATTAATAAACTTGAATCCTTCAAGTTTGGAACACAATGTCAACTTTTGGAGATGGTTTAGGAAACTTATATCAAGAAACATCAACCTTTCCAAACATTGAATAATAGCTCCATGAATATCCAACTTCTTGAGATTGGGAGTCCTTGCCAAGATATCCTTGCAAGACCAAGGATCTACACATGAGAGAGTTTGCAAGTTATCCAATGATGTGTGATCATTAGGATATGGCCTCTCAATTACAAATATCCCTCTTCCACTAACTGAAAGATGCCTCAAGTTTACCATCTTCCAGAGACTCCGTGGTAACTTGAGATATTCAACTGATGTACGAAGAACAAAAGTTTCTAAATTCCAGAGGTTGGATATTGAAGATGGGAAGCAGCGCACAGAAACATCACCAGCCAAGTGGGTCCACATAAAATCAAGTGCTAAGTACCTCAAGAGAACAAGTTGTTCTATCTCACTAGGGTACACGGTAAAATCTATCAAACTCATATCCAACACCCTAAGAAGTTTAAAGCATTGGTTAAGGAATTGAAGGGAATTGAAGGGAATGTAGTCAGAGACAAAGCACAAGCAAGAGCGGATGTTTGAGGCAGAAGGGATTACTTCAGTTTTTTGAAAAATATTTGAACTAAAGCATAGACGACGCATGAGTGAAGAATGTTTTGAAGTTAAAGAAGAGGAAAAAGAATCTTGACACAAAATTTGTTGCAAAAAATACTCTTCCTCAGCTCTTTTGCAGCAAAAATTGTGCAACAGATCATGGATACTGCAAGCTTTGATTCCACCGTCAGACCTTCTCTTTGAAACTAATATGAGATTTCTACCTATTAGATCCATCAAGTATTCCTCTGCTACATCCTCCAAACTCCTTCCTTCAATCTTTCGTATAAATCCTTCAGCAATCCATAACTGTGTCAACTTCTGAACATAGATTACAAAGTCCTGTGGAAATGCTGCAAAATAGAGGAAACATGGTTTCAAATAATGAGGTAAGTGGTTGTAACTCAATGCAAATGTTTCCATGCATGGTTCCAGAACCCTTGAATCTAGGATTTTCTCAACTTCCTTCCACCAGCCTGGCATTTCCTTTCTATTTGCAAGCATTCCACCTACCACAACAATCGCTAGTGGTAGTCCCTGACAGTTTTTTGCAATTTTCTTTCCCACGCACATCAAATTTGGAGGGCAAATTTCTCTTTGAAATACCTTCTGCTGGAAAAGATCCCAACTTTCATCTTCAGTTAAGAAACGAAGATCAAGAGGTGGACTACTAGGATTAGCATGCAATGCCACATTTGTGAACCGACTGGTGAACATAATTCTACTTCCGTTATTGTCATTTGGAAATAAACTTTTCAAATCAACCCATGCCCTAGTGTCCCAAATATCGTCCATCACAATGAGATACCTCTTACCCTTTAAGCTTTTCCATAGCTCATCACATAATTCCCAATCTTTCATTCCAACAACAATAGAATTTGTATGTGGACTAACCGAATGTATTAGGTCAACTAACAAATTCTGCTTTTGGTATTTTTGAGAAATTGTGATCCATGCACGAATATAGAAGTGATATACGATAAGGGGATCATTATACACTTTTCTAGCAAGAGTAGTCTTACCTAATCCAGGCATCCCGACAATTGAGATAATATCGAGCTTTTTCTGTCCTCTTGTGAGTTTCTCTTTTAGCTTCATCGCCTCATCCTCAAAGCCCACCACTGTTTCTTCCTCCCATACATCTACTTGGGTTTTTACTCTCGAAAAATCTCCACCGCAAGACTTTTCTTCTTGTATGGCCTCCATATCAGGACTCTGCTTCTCACAAATCTCCAACTCTGTTTTAATAGCCTCAATCTCCTCTTTGACATGTCCAAGATTTAGAGATCGATCACAGACATGACCCATTTTCACATTCAAGACAACGTTGACTACAAACAAATCGATGGTATCTTCTGCCTTGTTTGCCAAATCTCTAATTCGTTTCACCAAATTGCTCACTTGCTTAGGTTCATAGAGTTTCTCATCACAATCCTTGAGAAAGTTTCTCAAGAATCTAAACTCCACGTAAAGAGATTCAATCTGGTCCTTCTCATCTTCATTCAAATTGATCTTATGGTGCATTAGCTGCTTCAAATTCTCCATGAGAAAATCCACTGTTGTTTCAGCCATTTCACTCTAATGAAACCACAACCACAACCACAACCACAACCGCAGCTCTTGCGGTCGCTGAAGTGGCTCCAAAGGAAGCCTGATGCGTTGCACCTATAGCCAGGTCACTTTGCTTTGCATCTTAACGGAGTAAACTCTCTCTCTCTCTCTCTCTCTCTCTCTCTCTCTTTCTCTCTCTCTCTCTGTGTGTATATATGTATATTGCTTCCTTTTTCCTTTTTTGCATCTAACCTTCCATGCCTATTTGCAGAAAAACTCCCTCTCTCTCTCATGGCAAATTATTTATCGCTGGATTTTGTTTTGAACTATCAAATGTTACAATTCTAGTTTGGTAAAGATAATTCATGATTTCAAATATTTGATCCTTCAAAATTAAATATTTAATATCTTAAAATTAACAAAAAATTAATTAAAAAATATCTAATACTTTTAATAAATATTCGATACAAGTAATTAAAGAATATCCGTATCTGATACGAAGCATCTGTACTTAAAAAATAAATAAATAAAAAGATTAACAGAGGAACCTTTGTGAGTCAATGCCAGGAAAGAAGGATCAAAATAAAGGGAAAACAAAATATATATATAAAAAATAAAAAAATAAAAAAAGGAGAGCAGAAGACACAAACGACACATCTCCATTAGGCATCTGCGATAACGTGGGTGTTTAGAAAGTTACTATTTTGATAGATTATTTTAGTTTTTGATTATTTTAGTAAGTTAAAATTTTGTGTTTGAGAAGATAATTGATTTTTTTTGTAGTTAGATGTGATATTTGTGAGAGAAAAAATGAAATAGTTATGAATTTGATTTAATATTTTATCTTATTAACTATTTTGGGAAAATCGGTTTAAGGTCCCTATCCAACTTTTAGTAATGGATTAGGTCCACAATGTGTTCTTTTGTAGCCTAAGGTCCCTCAATGTTATTTTAGAGTGTAAAATACCTATCTTACCCTTGTTTATAATATACGTTGTTTTGAATTTGGCAGCTAAAGATCATATTGATATTTTGTGGGAGATTACGTGAGGATGAATTTGACGATTCAGATTTTTGTGGAGATTTTCTAGGGTTTTGTAGGTGTTGAAATCCTGTTCGTTGTTTGTAGGTGTTGAAATCCTGTACGAGTTGAAATCATGTTCGTTGTTTGTAGGTGTTGATTGATCGTGTAGGAGTTGAAATCTGGTTCATTGTGTTTGATTTGATTTCATGTGGAGTTGAAATAGATAAGTTTTCAATTTTTGATTTGATTTGATCGTGTAGGTGTTGAATTAGGTTTTTGTTTTTAGTTTTGATCAATGTGAGAGAGACGAACTCAGTGTTGTTCTTTTTGATTTTTGAAGTTAATTTTTCAATAGATGATATCACATAATTTTAAAATTTTTTAATATTTATAATTTGTGTAATAGGTAAAGTCAATAATAATGACATGAGACTAATTGGTATACTAGTGTGTACGTTAATTGGTGCATATAGCACCACCGTAACGTACATGGGTCTCCCATTAAATTAAAATGAATAATGCTATATGCATCAATTAATGTACTAACTAGTGTACTAATTGATGATATGACATAATTTAAGATATTTTTTATATTTATAATTTGTATAATGAGTGGGGTCAATAATAATGTCATAATTAGTGTTGGTATACTAGTTAGTATACTAATTAGTACATGTAGCACCGAATTAAAATTAACTATATATATTAATTAGTATACTAACTAATGTATCAATTAGTGTTATGTTATTATAACCGGTGGTGCAAGATGCACTAATTAGTGTAATAACTACTGTACCAACACTAGTTATGACATTATTATTGATCTCAATTATTATACAAATTACAAATACCAAAAACGTCTTAAATTATTCCACATCATCAATTGGTACACTAGTTAGTATATTAATTGGTACATACAGCAATATTCTATTATTACTAACTCCACTTATTATACTAATTATAAATATTCAAAATCTCTAAAATTATACAATATCACCTGTTAGTGCACTAATTAGTATACTAATTGGTACATGTAGCACCACCGTAAAACTTTAATGTATTAAGGACAAGCACAAAAAAAAATTCTTGAAAAGTGCAACACATACCACTATTACCAACATTTAAAATTTTAAAATAATATTACTTTTGATAGATGTCAGTTTTTAATAAAATTATTATTTTTATAATCCCCTCATCAAGATCTATCAAATAAGATCCATGTTTATTATGAAATTCTTTTTTAAAAAAAATTATTATTACCGTCGAAATTGATGTAAACAATAACATGTTACTCTGTTTGACAGTAACATGTTATTTTGTCTCACAGTAACATATTACTCTGGTAATATTATCCAAGAAAAAAAGAGAGGATATTTTACTTTGTCCTTACTCAATTACGTGTCTCCTCCTTTGGGGGTTTACCAGACAAAATAAATTGAGCTGTCTTTTTTACCAAATAAGGGCCCAATAGAGGGGTTTTGGCTAAATTTTTCCCTTTTTTTTTTAGTTTTCAGACTAAGTGATACAGGAATAAAATTATAAGAAGAGTAAATTACAAATACACTCCTTGAGGTTTGCTTAAAATATGGAATGCCCCATGTGGTTTAGAAAATTACACATACCTTTGTTAGAATTTTTTATTTGACAGAATTAACTGAAAAAATAAAATTCTTAATTGCTCTCTTATACAATGATAAAATTATCTAAATTATTCATTGAAATAAATTTTTGATATCATTAAAAACTGTTAATTAACTTTATAATTTATATTAATAAAATGAACCATTTGTTATGAAATTGAAAATTTCAAGGACAGAATGTAATTTTCAAAAACATAGGGACAAATCATATTTTACGTAAATCTTAGGAATTATATTTGTAACTTACCCTTATGAAAATGACGTGACTCAAGAATGAGCTCTATCAATGGCCACCACCAAGACTGCAAAATACAACTCATTCACTACGCCAATTTGCACCAATTCGCGTCATTCTATCCCCTCATCGCCGATTAAACTTTAAAATTTATAATTTGCATTTAAAACTGCTCCACTTCGCAATAGTTAATACATATATATTTTTTAACCTCTTATGAAATATCAAAATAAAAATGAGTGTGAGAGAGATTTAAGATGTGAAATTTGTTACAAATTAGTAGTTATATATGAAAAATATTATGTAAAATTAGTTTGTGTTATATATATGAAAAATATTATACAAATGCTTGATAATTAGTTAAGAATATTCTTCAATTCGCCAAACCACGATTTAGTTACAATTTTACTCTCAAACAGTTCGAACCACACCGTGCACACCCCTAGCCACCACAACCAAGAGTCACTAAACTCAACAAAGTTAGCAAACTAGTGATTATGAAGCTTTCAATTTCCAAAAATCTCGGTAACTTTTCTAATATCCAAGCCCTAATAAATATCTCTAGCGACATCTCCCCCATAACGAGAGAAAGAGAGAAATAAGAAGATAAGAACGGGATGGTAGAGGCAGCGGAGAGAGTGACGAAGCAATGGATGAAGTTGGGTAGGGCGGAGAGGCTGAGAAGATGGTGGCGGATGCATTGAACAGTGAGTATAGTGATGGTTGATGGTGATGGTGATGGTGATGGTGATGGTAGTGGCTATGGTTTTAGTTAACATTAGAGTTAGGGTTTGAAATCAAAGAAGATAAGATTATTTTGGTTTCATTTGAAAATTAATGGTTTGAATTGAAAAAAAAATTAAAAATTAGGTTGTCATGTTAATAGTGTGTACTAAGATAAAGCAAGGTACAACAATACTAGGAATGCTAATAATCTTATTAACATACTCAAAAGTTTTGATAGAATTAACCATCGCTTGGTATGGAACTCACATCAACTTTTAAGTGTATTAGTAAGATTGTTAGTAAATATATTAATCACCCTAAAATTTTTCACAAACAAATACATTTTATTTTATATATCATATTTAATACCCACCAATAATCTTAACACTCAATTTCACTTTACCCACACTCTTAATCAATCAAATTCTCAAAACAAACATGATACCATAATAAGTTACTAATACAATGTTCATATAAATTGCCTCAAAACTAGAAATCAACATAGAACTTTAAACCACAAATAAAAAGATTTATTTAAGTGGTGATGGTACAAGAAGGTTTGTCTTTTTTTTCTTTTCTTCTTTTTTTTTTTTTTTAGAGGGGATGGTACAAAAAGGAATTTCACTATACCATAAATGTGGGCAATTTCCTAGTCCAAAATTGGACCATAAAATTTCAACATCAACCATTGGTCCCGTCCAATGAGTCTGTATCCTCTGTAACGGCCACAAGTAAGCAGTCGTCCGTGGTCTTACTTTTTACATTTAGAAAAATGCTTCATACCACTAATTTTTAACACCACTAATGTACCACTAATGATATGACATCATGTGGATCCCACTATTAATGTGATAATTTAACCTTTATTTATTTATTTTTGCACTTATCAATTTATTAGTGGTACTTTTAAAACTGCTAATTTAGTGCTCTAAATAGGAACTATTTCATTTAACACCCAAACCTGACTTCTCAGTTTTAAGATACTCAACAAAACCAGCAACATATTCATCATGAAGCTTTCTATCTCCAAAAATCTCAATAGCTTTTTCACCTAAGCTCTCATTTCATCTCCTTCCTCAGAAATCATAGCTTTTCTCAAACACCGAGCTATTTCGTTCCCATTAAACGACCCATTGTAGACTGCCCGAACTCACTCCGCACGCCCCCCTTTCGGAGAGGGCGCGAATTGTAGTTCTAGCAACTACAGTTCGGACTCCTGTCACGGTTCTGTATCTACTCTCACAAAGTGCAATGTAAGACTGATAAATCACCAAAGAGTCCAAATCTGGAAAATCGTTTTGGAAAATCAATTTTAATCAAGAAGTGCCAAACATGGACTACTTTGCCAGATTACAAAGTCACCACCTAAATATTTTATTTTGGGAAATTTAGGAAA